CTTGAGAAATGAAGAGGGAGATACGGCATTACTGTTCAAATACTTGAAAGGTTGTCATCCAGAGGAGGGGCAGGATGTGTTCTCAGTTGCTCCAAAGTGCAAAACAATTAAAAGGGCTCAAGTTACAGGATAATGGGCTCAAGTTACAGGAATTTAGATTCTGGCTGAATATCAAGAAAAACTTCTTAACTGTTAAGAGTCATACAACAATGGAACCAATTACCTTGGGAGGTGGTGAATGCTCTTAACACTGCAGGCATTCAAGACACATCACTATGCTGGTGAAACATTGCTCAGAAGCACAATAGGATACTGGCCTGCATATGTGTCTGTGCATATGTGTGCATGCTGGCATCTAAAGGTGGAATTCAAATGTAAACAAATAAGAGCAGATAAATACATTTTTGCTAAAAACATACTGAACCCCCCTCCCCACACACATGCGTCTAGGTATTGGGAGGATTGAACAAAGTCCAAGAGGAACAGAACCACCACCACCATCATCATCATCATCTTGCAACTGCAGAGCTGGAAGGAATCATGGAGTCTAGGCCCTGTCAAAGAGACACAGTGGGGGAATCAAATTCCCAACCTCTGGCTCCACAGCCAGAGACTAAAGCCACTGATCTATAATAATGGTTGGCAGATGGTACCATCATCACTCTCAATGAAAAACTGCCAGTATTCAGGTCTACAAACTCTTGTATCATTATTGCTGTGTTTCCTTTAACAGGTATTTGTCTCAAGATGTCACTGTGACATGAAATTTGGGCAGAACAGAACTGAAGGGGTCAGGGTACAGAATGTGGACACCATTCCTGAGTGGCAACTGAGGCTGTTGCTGACCCTAAGGGGCGTCTCCTTTTTCTGTTTCATAGCTTGCCTTTTGCCAGGAGTCGCACATCCTGTTCAACCCCTACCTGCTCTGCAAAGTAAAGCCTAGCACACAGGTAGCATTACAGTACGTAGAAAGATGACACAGCTCAATGGAAGCCGTAGGATTTTTAGCCCACACATTCTAAACTCTGCAGTCTAGTGGGACTTGGCCAGCTGTTTCCAGGTGTTTGCAAACGATTTTCAAAGCTTGAGGTTATGTCTGGAGCTATGATGACTGCATTTTATTCTGCCTGGCCGTTTCTGCCCTTGCATTACAGACATAGGTTCGATGGATGAAAGTGTCATTCCCATAAAAGTTGCATAATCAGAGGGGTGGCAGATGATAGGTGGCAGATGATGGCAGAGAGGGGAAAGTAATAATTCCAAGCTTTTGTCCTTTGGAGGGCAAAGCTACGGACTCCACACAAATGCACATGCCTATTGGCTGCTTTCAGTTTCGGCTACCAATCCATTCAGCTTCTGTTAATGGAACGGTGGTGTGAGCAAGGACCAATCCTTCATTTCAGGCAGCAGAATAGCTTGGGATACAGTACACAACAGTGAGAACAGCAACATCTGGTCTGATTTATTGACTGGTAAGGTTGCTGCGGATACCCAACGTCGTGGAGTGGATAGACTGACAGGCTAGGATTCAGGAGGCCTGGGTTTGAATCCCCACTCAGCTATGTAAACTTTTGAGGGTGAGGAACTGGTAAAACCACTCCTTAGATATCTCACTTACTTGAAAGCCCTATTAGGGTTGGTTCCAACATGATGGCACAGAACAGCAACAAGGTGGCTGTTAAAGGAACAAGAGCATGCCCAGGCCAAAAAAGTGAAAAACGTGCCTGGAACACATGTAAGAAGAGCCAAAGAAGAAGCTTGTATCAAACACAATGTGTATCTTGCTGTTGTTGATTTTTATCACAGTTCTCCACAGTTGTGGTTCGGGAAGCATAGTTCAAAGGGTATATGTCCCATGTATGTAGTCATAAAAAGCACACATATGTATACAGACACAGACACAGACACAGACACAGACACAGACACACACACACACACACACACACACACACACAGGTTCTAAAGTCAACAAACAAAATGCACCTCTCCTGCCTTCCAAGAAATCAGGGATGTGATCAAGTTTTGGGGTCAGAGTCCTGAGTCAGAGTCTTTGGTACCAAGTCCCAAGTCCCAAGCCTGAGTCCCTATTAAAAACAACCCCCCAAGAAAAAAAGGGAAAAGATGAGTGGGTTGCAAGCTGAGTCCAATTCTTTGAGCTCCCCCCGACCCCGAATGGAGTCTGAGTTGAGTCACCAGTGCAACTAGCTCCCCCTGACCCCGAATGGAGTCTGAGTTGAGTCATCAGTGCAACTCAAGTCTGACGACAACGAGTCCTGCGACTCAAGTCCCCATCCCTGCATGAAATGGACTTCGGAGAGAAACAATATGAGTGCAATTGTTTATTGATTTATTGAATAGATAGAGGTGGGAGAAGCCACCTTGCCTTTAAGGGGCAGCACAGAGCTCTTTGCCTGACCCCGAATGGAGTCTGAGTTGAGTCATCAGTGCAACTCAAGTCTGACGACAACGAGTCCTGCGACTCAAGTCCCCATCCCTGCATGAAATGGACTTCGGAGAGAAACAATATGAGTGCAATTGTTTATTGATTTATTGAATAGATAGAGGTGGGAGAAGCCACCTTGCCTTTAAGGGGCAGCACAGAGCTCTTTGCCAGAATTTGCAACCAGTTTGTCACGATGTAGGTGGATACGGAGGTCCTTGTATCCAAAAGAGGTCTCACCTGGTGAAGAAAGACAGTAACAGGAAAGTTAGAAAGGAGTCTGCTTCTCCACACCTCCAGACTTTTGTTGCAGCTCATTGACACTTCTACAACACATACACTTCATTGCACACATGTGAAGGCAGCAGTCATACACACATGTACCTGGGAGTAAGTGACACTGCACATAATTGGCTTTCTTTTGAGCAGACAATTTTCTAAGATTCCACAGTGAATCACTGATGGGACACTGGTTGCTTGAAGCGATCTCCCTTAAAACAGCCCTTCCATCAGTTGAGCTATTGTTCCAGTCCAGCTCCAAAAGGTCATATCCTTACTGCTAGACCAAAAAAGTCCAGCTTGGCCACAGATCAGGGGTGGTCTGGAGTTCTATATCCCATAAGTCATGTGATCATGAAGAAATACCTTGCACAGGACCATGCGATCCAAAATGCAGGTCATGCACCTGTGGGATCTCACCCTAGTCTGCAAGAGCTTAAAGGTTACACATTTGCTAGGCTTTTATTTAGGTCAGCCGTTCTCAGTTGAGGGGGCTGGCACATTTGAAGGGTGCTACAGACTGGAGAGTCCCCTGGACTGCAAGGAGAACAAACCTAGCCATTCTAAAGGAAATCAACCCTGAGTGCTCACTGGAAGGACAGATCCTGAAGCTGAGGCTCGCAGCCCAGGCCCAAAAGGTCATAGCCCTACTGCTAGACCAAAAAAGTCCAGCTTGGACACAGATCAGGGGTGGTCTGGAGCTCTATATTCCATAAGTCATGGGATCATGAAGAAATACCTTGCACAGGACCATGCAGGCTAGGCACCTGTGGGATCTCACCCTAGTCTGCAAGAGTTTAGAGGTTAACACATTTGCTAGGCTTTTATTTAGGTCAGCCATTCTCAATTGAGGGGGGGGGCTGGCACATTTGAAAGGGGCTACAGACTGGAAACAATCCTTCACATAATGACTTTATAAGGTTCTTTATGTGACTTAAAGAGCTTAAAGGTTACACATTTGCTAGGCTTTTATTTAGGTCAGCCATTCTCAATTGAGGGGGGGGGCTGGCACATTTGAAAGGGGCTACAGACTGGAAACAATCCTTCACATAATGACTTTATAAGGTTCTTTATGTGACTTAAACAAATCTGATTCATCCTATATTTCTTTTATATTGTGTTTATGCCGTGGCAAAAAAAAGAGGTCAAGAATGGCTGCTTTCGTGACTTAAACGAACCTGATTAATCCTATATTTCTTTTATATTGTGCTTATGCCATGGCCAAAAAAAAGAGGTCAAGAATGGCTGCTTTGGGTGATGTAAGAATCTTCTTCTTTTTGCTTTCAATGACCTGCAATAATTTGCTGCCCTCTTCTGATGGCAGATAATATCAAGTAAATTATGTAAAAAAACTGCAGAATTATCCAAAATAACGAACCTGATTAATCCTATATTTCTTTTATATTGTGCTTATGCCATGGCCAAAAAAAAGAGGTCAAGAATGGCTGCTTTGGGTGATGTAAGAATCTTCTTCTTTTTGCTTTCAATGACCTGCAATAATTTGCTGCCCTCTTCTGATGGCAGATAATATCAAGTAAATTATGTAAAAAAACTGCAGAATTATCCAAAATTGTAAAGTTTGAAATCTTGGACTAGACTAATGAGAGTATACTTTCATGAGGCTCATTCATGTTGTTGGGTCTGCACAGGAGAAACTATCAGTGCCTCAAGGGGCAAATGAGAAATGATGGAACAAGGTGGACATTCTTTCCTACGGTCAACTCATCTTCCTGCCTATGTTGTGATTTCCTCAGAGAGACGTGCTTCAGTAATCAGAACTGCAAATCAAGCCCTACCTTTTAGTAGCCAATCACAACATAAAGCACACAACATGCAAGATATGTAAGGTGAGGAAAATGGGTACATAAGGTGAGGAAAATTTCATCTTATAGATGCCTTTCATCATTTTAGGAGTACACGATCCAAAAACATGCTAAGCATATCATCTAATTCAGTGATTATCAACCTTTCATCCCCAGATGCTCTTGGACTACAACTCCTAGAAATCCTGACCAGCACAGCTTGTGGTGAAGGCTTCTGGGAATTTTAGTCCAAGAACGTATGAGGAGGACCCAAACTTGGGAACCATTGACTCAGTTTGAACTTCCATTTTTTAGTGTCTAGAACAGATCAACAAGGGAAGATATGGGAACAGAGTAGAGAACATGATTTATGTGCAGAAGGAGCACTGTTTGGTATCCTCTGAAGCTGAAATGGATCAGTCAGAAGCTGATGGCAGTTTGGACAAAACCTGTCTCTTTCTGAAGAAGTGCAGCCTGATATAGGCAGCTTCATGTAAATATTAGGCCACAGTGTGTGTGTATCATTTTTACAAAATGCAAATTTCAAGTTACGTAGATGGGGCTTTGAGGGTCACACACAATTCCCAAAGCAGCAGAAGTTGACAGAGATGACCCATTGCTTACATCAAGCAATCGCTTTTCTCTGTGGTGACGCCAATCACAAATTCATCCACCTGGAATACCCAGCGCCCTGGTTCCTTCACATTGGTAGTTTTTCCAATATTGATGACCTCAGGAGTGCGAGAACCTGGAATATTGTAATAATTTATTTTGTCTCCACTGTCAAATCCAGCCTGGAGAAAAGAGAGAGAGAGAAAGGTCAAGTTACACCCTGTCTAATTCTATTGCTCAGCAAGCGTTCTATTTAGTATTATTTAACATTTGAGCACATTATAGTTCTGATAAGGTTGGGAACTATTGTTCCAGATCGTATTGCGAAATAAGATTGTATCAAGGAATTGTGCTACTTGAGGAAAAGGACAAAATTAAAAATAATAATAAAAAATTAGTGCCCCTTCTCCATTGCATACACAGATGCCAATTGAAATGGCACCTCAAATGAGGCAATAGGCTCTTTTGACATGTCTAGAAAGAGGCCGTTGTGGCATATTGGGTTCTGCCTTCCAAAAAATTGGATTGGGTGAGTGCTCAGGAAGAAAGTTTGGGAGATGCTTCGTAGTCTTTGCTGCCTGCGGTGATTGCTGCATTCTGCCTAATGGTTGGGCCAGTCCATTTGTGAACTGTCCTATACAGTGGTGCCCCGCATAGCGAGCACCCCGTTTAACAACGAATCCGCATAGCAATGCGGATTTTGCGATTGCAAAAGCGATCGCATTGCGATGGTTTATATGGCTAAATATCGCATTGCGATGATCGGTAAGCGGAAGGAAAAAATGGCCACCTGCAGCGTTTTCGTGCCCTTTCCCTCGCGTACCGGGTGGCGAAAATGGCGGCCGTATGGAGGATTTCCGCATAGCGGTGAGTTTATCCCCCATAGGAACGCATTAAACAGGGTTTAATGCATTCCTATGGGGTTTTCTGTTCCATATAGCAACAATTCCGTATAGCGACGATTTATCCAGAATGGATTATCATCACTATGCGGGGCACCACTGTATTTCTATCCTAAGTAAATGTTGTCACTCAGATCAATAATACTTCTCTGGAAGAAGAAACACAATTTCTTTGTTACATTGATTTCTTGATCCTGAACCACCCACTTATTTCATTATGCAGTCATTGCCCAGACCTACCTGCGCTGGGGTTCCTCCAAGTCCTGTCTTAGCATTCCCTCCACTTGCTATCCCTGTGGTCCATTGAATATCATCATAATTCAGCATGATGAAGGATATCTTCCCATCGGTAGCCAAGACTGCCTGGAAGGTGTTAACCTGTAGTAAGCAACAAAGAGACATATAGCTGTGCAATTGTTACCTTCAGTGTCTTGAAAATCCTAATGCCATAATTGTGGACAATCTCCCCCCATCAATGCATGCTATCAGTGTGTCCATATTTGCTGTAGCCAACCAACCTTCGGTGGCCCACCATCTGGTAACAAGTCTCTCCATACTTAGCGAGAATAGTCCTCAGATGGATGACTTGCAGTCTTCCACCAAATCCAAGCTTGAATGCTTGCTAACCTGCTAGAACCTGCCATAGATTATGCTCTGATAGCATTGTCTTCCAGAGCAAGGGTCATCTCCTGGTGAAGTGGTAATGTTGGACTTTGTGGAGGTATACACACTTTGAAATATATTTAAAGTACAGCAGCAGCATCTTTCAGGGCCATGATCTCTCTGGGTCAGCAACTTTCCCTATTATATCACACAAAGTAGCGCAGGCTTCCTCATGCCAGCTGGGGCATGATGGGAAGTTGTATTTCAATACATCCAGCTGTCATCAGGTTCAGGAAAGCTTTAGCCAAGACCCCCTAGGCACTTTTCTCTCAATCCTAAGGAACACCTATAGATTATCTATGTAGCACTGGGGAGTCTCTCTGGGGAGGGACAGCAAGTATAACTCATTGACTTTCTGAGAAAAAGTTTTGTTCCCCCTCTCACAGCTTGGTCTGGGAAATACTGGAGTGCAATTCAATTTACCAAGGGCTCATCTGTTTTCAAGACAAAGACTTGAATCGGAAAACAAAAGGCGATATCTGAGAAGATAGGGGTAGACTGGGACTTTAAGTCAATGGAATGTAGGTAAGCTGTGGCTAATTGATTGAATTCAATAGGTCTGATATAAAGATAGCTTTCTCTTATTGTCTTTCCAATAACCGCCTCCCACAGAAATACAAATAAATCGGAGTTTGGTGGTGTATGTATGTGTGTGTTGCAACTTGGATGAAAGTTGGCTTCAATTCCAGAGTGTCACCCTCTTTCAGTCTTTTCCATGATTGTGAGATCCATTATATTTCCATTGCAGCTGTACTAATTCTTTCTAAATGTACCTCTAGATACAAAAATGACCACATGCAAATTTTGTGCAAATCTATGGATTTCCTCTCCTATGGACAATGGTCATTCTATATATAGCCATGGGTCTTCTCTATATAGTCGGTGTTCCTTTCTCTCTCTGTGTATGCTTGTGTGCATGTTTATGGGAGAAAGGCAGCATGTAAATGTCAATAAATAAACAAATAAATCTATTTTGTTTAGAAAGTAAGGGAAATTATGTTAAGTCCCCCCTGTTGTGTGATCAGTCACACAACCACTGATACAGGGTTGCCATAAGGAGCTTGTTGGAGTGTGGACAACTTGTTGTGATTGCTTCTCCACAATCATGTGACTCAACATGATGTTGGCATATATAGTTATCCTGCCTTTCAGCTTAGGAAAAAAAAGGAAAGGGAAGTCACACAACATCATTAAAAATAAATTGAACAAGAAAGCCATCACAATAAGAAAGCAATAAAAACAGTTTTAAAAAGTAAATTGAGGAGGTGTCTTCATACCTTCTTTAAGATCAGTGTGAGTGGGAACTGATCACGGTTCTAAAGGAAAATGAGCTCCATACAGAAGAAAGCTCTCTCCAACATGGCCAACATCATCTAATCAATGGTTCCCAATCGTGGGTGCCCAGATGTGCTTGCATTAAAACTCCTGGACACCTTCACCATTTGCTGTGCTGGCCAGGCTTTCTGGGAGTTGTAGTCCAAGAACATCTGGGAAGCCAAGCTTAGGAGCCACTTATCTAAATGGCTGAGAATATTTATACATTCTCCCTGCTGCCTCTGGAAGATATGGTGGTCTCTGAATGGCAGGGGAGCAGTTGCAGGGCATGAGAAGGGGCAGTCCAATGAGATACCTACCTTCTTCGAAGCAGAACCAAAGTAGGCCACACGGTCCCACGTAGCAACAAGGGCCCAGGTAGCCACAAAAGGGACCTCAGGGAAGTACCGATTGATGTCCTCAGTACAGCGGCTGAGCAGCACTGCGTCTTGGCTCTGCCTCCAGAGAATATCTCCACCTCTTCTATTATCCACATCACCCCAATATGGGGCCACAAAGGGTGACCCACCATCCAAGGGGAAAGGGTCAGGGGTGTATTGTGAGACATTCACACCAAAGGAAACCACACCGTTATTGTTTACCTGCAGAACAAGAGGGAGATAGCCTTGCATTTGCAGCAATTTTGTGAGATGATGATTATGATGTCCTCTACTCCTAATAAAATCAAGAACATGCAAACATTCAACACATTTAACCACAATTGTATTTGTGTGTGTATATGAACCCGTATATCAATATAAAACTCCTCAAAATAAACAACAATAAAAAAGAACTAATCAACTGCTAAAAACCAGCTTAAAAGTTCTAATAAAATACACCAGTCGTTCATCTCTCCCTACACCCAACACCTATAGTTCCAAGTTGAACAGATAGGTTTTTAAAACTTGTCTAAATTTTAAAATATGTCGTTGACCCAATGGGCAGCCAGTGCAATGCCTTGCAATGACAGGAAATTATGGGAGCAATGTGGCTCAGTTTGTAACCATTTGTACCGCACTGTTCTGTAAGAGGACAAAGCAGATCAATGACACAGAGAAATGTCAACCGAAAGGGCCAGTTCTATATGGCTCTATTTGGGCTGAACGTTGAGACCCAAGTTCAGCCTCCAAAGATCAGGAGAGGAGCTCCAAACTGTAAGGGATGTGAATTCAGAAAGTGTCCTTCCTCTGATCTAGGAAATCCATAGCCTTTCTGGGACAGTAGGCTAGTAAGAAACTACATTAAATCTTGCCCAGCCTCTTTCTGTATGATAATATACTGTATTTCCTGCTTTATAGTTTGTCCATTTTAAGGAGCCATCTATTTAAAGTACTGCCTAGTTGAAGTTAAAGATAAAAATGAAACAGTGTAAGAATGGAAATTAGAGACGTTGAATTTGCCCATCAATATTTGGGACTCAATGCAATAGTGAAATTATTTATATTCTTATTTAAGTTACAGAAATGATTTCTATTGTCTCTGTAAGTTAGGATGGGCAACATTTATGCAAATTTATCCCCTCCCCCCATGCATTTCCTTCCTTTAGAGACATGCAAGGGGCCAGGCAACTAGTTTCACCAAATGGCGCAGGCACATAGAAATAAAAGGTATATAAAGAGTGAAAGTGATGGAAGAGGCAAACAGAACATCTCTTGGCCAGCAGATCATCAAGCAGAGTTCTGCATCAGCCTGCCTTCTCATAAAGCAGCATCCTGCCCAACAGTTACATACATAGAGAGAGTCATATTCCTTGCCATAGAAGGTGAAGGGCACCGGGATAGAGATCGCTGGAGATGTGCCGTCGTCTGACTTGGGATTCTTTGAGTCACCCCACTCTGTTCCATAAGGGTACATCAATGAGGCTGGAAGAGGAGGAAAGCTGTATTAACTCTACAGAGTACTGATCACTGACTGTCCTTCTGATGAGATTACCTGTCCCTCCACCAGCAGGCTCCTGGGATCATCTATTGCCACAGGCACTGCTTCTTGTATTTATCACTCTTTTCTCCAACTGGTATGAGGAAAATGTATTCTCCTCATGGGTCATATCAGGTCCTGAGGCCTCCAATTGCTAATCCCTGTCACAGAAGCTTCATCTTTCTAATAAGGTCTGAATAGATTGTTTTGATGATGTGCAGTCTTAGGGCAAGCACCAGTCCACGATCCTGCTTCATGGGAACTCCACCAACATTTGTTTGCTTTGTGTCTAATCAAGAAATCCTAGTTGTCAGTAGAAGTCAATTTGCACACAGTATTTCCATGCATTTGCAAGCAGGCCTCTTCTGTTTTTTCTGAATACTTTGACCATTTCTGAACGCACACTTGCTTGCTTGCTATCAGACAATGCAGATAGAGTATTTGGTCTTGAGAATGCAAACAGTCAGGGTGACTGGCCCCACAGGCATGACCCCAAGAAAGTAAAAAAATGCAGACAGCTGTATCAATCCATGGCCAGAGTTCTTTTGGTGATTTACATGTGTGAATGTCATCTTGTGTAACTCTTCCTGGCGGACAGTTGATAATTAACAAGGCATTGGATGAAAAGACTGCCTTACAGGCATATGACTAGTATTAAATAGCAATTCATTGTGGTGAGTTACCAAAGTTAGCACACACTCCCATAAGGTCACCAACAAGATTCTAGGCCTCATCAATAAAGCAGGTCAAACAGTTTGGATTGTCATCAAGGTTTGGCCATGCTAATGGGGTCTTCTTCACCCCTCATAAGCTTTGCCTTACAACAGGGACACATCATAGCAAAATATAATAGGTGGGAAAATTCATTCGCAGTGTCTCTATAGCTGCTGCACAAATTGCAACTGAGATCTGACAGAACATGAAAGCCTGAGGAAGCTCGTAAGTCCTGCCATCATCTCCGCTAATAAAAACACCTTGCCACTCCAGTCCTGTGAGCCTGGACAACATATACAAATGATACCCTTAGGAAATCAGAGGCAGGCATTATGCTTTAATTCTTGTACACCATAAGCTTTCATATGAATCCTGCGGTATTGCCTTCCAATGTAGGGAAACATTAGAATCTTAAGCATTTGATGGAATCAGCCTCCCCCTATCTCACTGTTATAGAAATACGACACCATTCTTTTGTTCGACAACGATTGCTTTGCCAAAATTCCTGGTCTGAAATCAGCCCTTCCTTACCTTTTGAGTTTTCAACTGGAGAAGTCAGCACTGAACCTAAAAAGCAACAATAAAGAGGGAATCAAATCTGTTACAAAAGTGTGTACACACACACACACACACACACACACACACACACACACACACACACACACACACACACACACACACACACACACACACACACAC